GGAATAGAAGAGATGTGCCCGGAGCCGGAGGTTCTTCATCCTCTGGGCTATTTCTTTGACACCCTTGAAGGCATTCCAAGCCGCTCTCTTCCTCCTGCGCAACTCAGGTGACAGGTCATTCATCATGTTGATTTCTCGACCTAGGTACACATAACTATTGCATTCGGAGATGTTCATCCCATTGAGAGTGAATGGAAGGTCAGAAACAAGACTGTTTCACATAAACATTGTGTTCGTGAGATTCAACTGTAGTCCTACCTTTCCACACTCATGGTCAAAGTCGACCAGCATTTGTGCCACTTGGCTGATGTTTGGTGTTATTAGAACAATGTCATCAGCGAAGTGGAGGTGGTATAGTTGCCGACCATCTATCTTCACTCCCAATCCTTCCCATTCCAGTCATCGCATGACGTTCTCGAGGGTAACACTGAAGAGTTTCGTTGAAATGGTATCACCCTGCCAAACCTTTCACTTGGCATCAATGATCACCTCCCTGTAGAATGGTGAGATCCTGGTACTGAATCCACAATATAGTTCACGGAGGATCCTTATTTATTGAGTTTGAATGCCCTGTTTGGCTAGGGCCCTGATAACCGCTTCAGTCTCAACAGAATCAAAGGCCTTCTTTAAATCAATGAACATTAGACAGAATGGCATCTTGAACTCCCGAGAAACCTCAATGAGCTTGGTTATTGCGTGGATATGGTCCATAGTGCTGAATCCTTTTTGGAAACTGGCTTGCTCGCATGGTTCTCCTTCACCTAGTGTTCTGTCATCCTATTCAGGATGACTCGAGTGAATGTCCAGTGGAATCTTGTAGATGACAGACAACAGACAGATCGGGCGATAGTTGCCAATGACGTGGGTGTCTCCCTTCTTGTACAGAAGTACAGTCCTGCTGGTTTTCCACTGGGACAGAACCTTGCATCCAGACAGGTAGTGTGTGAAGAGCCGAGCCAGTGTATTGATGAGTACTGATGGCAGGTTCTTCAGGTGTTCGGATCTGACCTTGTCTTGGTCGGGTGCTGTTCACGTCTTTACTAATGAAATGGTATGTCGGATTTTAGAAGGCAAATTAGAGGGCAATTAGAGGCTGCCCTAAAAGCCTCTATCCCTCTCGGAGAGCCTGGCAAGCTACCGAGAGTATCCCACCTGCATGGCAGAGTCTGGCAAGCTATTCGTGGTGTATTCGATATGACAAATCCATTAAATACAATGGGTCTCATTCCCCTGACCCTGAAAGAGTCATCAATATGGCAGTGTTAAGAAGGATGAGGAAGGAGAGACTGATAAAATCTCAGGGCCGAACTAGGCTGCCAAAATGAAGAATGACAAAAATGACTGTCTGTACTTTCAATGCACATATGCTGGCATCGGATGCATCCATCGAGGACCTGATAGTGCAAGAGCAAAAGATCAAGTATGACATCATTGGTCTGACTAAGACGAGAAGACATCAATCACATCACGCTGTTTTCAACACTGGAGAACTGTTCCTCGGAACATGTGACAAAAGAGGCATCAGTGATGTTGGTGTCCTTATCAACATGAACTTGGACATAAAGATTGATTCATTCAAAAGCCTAACAACCCAAATCAGATGATTACACTTGAATAGATGTGACTCACTGGCAGTTTCTATCTTTGTTGTCTACACACCAACGTCCAATTATGATGAAGGAGAAATTGAGAAGTTCTACATGGAGCTGGAGAGGTTCTATAAAGAAGACCACACTTTCTACAAGATCATTGTCAATGATTTTAATGCCAAGATAGGATCTAGAAGATCTGCTGAAGAACTCCACATTGGGACCCATGGCCTAGAATGGAATGATTAGGGTGAGAGACTGTCTGAATTCATTATGTCAACCAAGAACATTCATGGTAACTCACAATTCCAGAAGGTCGAATCTAAACATTGGACATATGAGTCTCCCGGTGGTTGGTTCCACAATCAAATTGACCACATCATATTCAATTGATGGTCTTGCCTGACCAATGTCGCTGTCGTCCCAAAATTCCAAATGGGATTGGACCACCATCTCCTTCGTGCAAAATTCTACTTCACAGAGTGGGGAGAAAGGGATGCAAAGTTTAAGAAGAGAACTTCCAGAATGACCACCAACTGGGAGCTCTTTGGCACTATTGCGGCAACATGGAAAGATACTGTCTTTGACAACATTGATGAGGAATATGATTGACTGGTTCAGCACCTCCATGATTGTGCGAAGAATGCCAAGAGAGAGATACAGCCACAGAAAGATGCCTGTCTTCGAAAATTCTGGAGCTTATTCGCCAACGTGGCTTGGCGCAAACCTCAGGCAACCACAAGCGAATGTCTGAGCTCGCAAAGCAGTGCAGAGATGAGATAAACGAAGACCTCAAAGAGAGGAGAGCAGCAGTGCTGGCAGATGCGGCAGAAGCTGGGAAAAAGCATTCGCAATTCCCGCCTGTCCTCTGCTAACTATAAGACCAAGATGACTGCCCTCCGATGTCCTGATGGATCTATCACATCTTCCAGAAGGGCAATGGAGAAGACTGTGCATGACTTCTACTCAGATCTCTTTGATAGCCATGTTCACCTGTCCACATACCAAATTCCGCATTGTGAATATGTCGTTCCCGATGTTCTCCCTTCCGAAATCCAACATGCCATTTCATTAGTAATATATGTATATACATATGTATATAAATATATACACACATACATATATATACACATACACATACACTATACTATGTTTATGAGCTCCCAGAGCTAAAAATGCTCGAATCTGGATCCAAATAAATAGTCCCAATAGAGATCAAGATGTTCAGGATATAACACCCAGGTCATGAATTTTGTCTCGTTGATGATTTACTTTAGAGTTCCCAAACTACTTTGGTCAATGGCCCTCCTTTTCAGGAAGCTGTCACTCAGCTTGCCAGATGGAAACCTACTTGAAGTGAGCTAAGAAAGATTTCCCCAGCTGCCTAGGTTACTATGGGTACTAGCACCTACCTTGATTGATCCAGCAGCCTGTCCATAGCTGGGGTAGTTTGGAGAAGCAGAATCAGCACTTTGGGAGACACTGAATTCTAGTCAGAGACAAGCACTTAATACCCCTCCCCACAACAATCTGTGTTTAGCAGGGATTAAGACCTCTGGCATAGGAAATGAATGAGTTCTTTTAGACCTACTCAATCTGATACAGTCCAAAGACAGCTTAGAGATATAGCTTGGCTTGATCTTTTTATAGATTATATGTTATAAAACTAGAATAAATAAATAAAACTAGAGAATGAAGGATTCACATTCACACAGACAGTTTAGTGATCAAATTGAAGTAAAAGTTCAGCATCCAGACATATGGTTTTTTGCTTTCCATTAATTCCAATCCCAATTCCTATGATTTACATCATTTCTTGTCAGATGGGGGTTTTGTGTGGAGAGATTGTCTGAGAAGACAAGAATGGACTAACCCAGCCATAAATTTATGTAGTATTACTTGTGCTGGAGAAGATGGTGTTTTGTTTTAAGGTGAAATAAACCTTCCTCCAAAGCACTTGCTTGCTGAACAAATCAGTCTTTATATTCAGCATATCATAAAATAATGTGTGTTCACCTTCTGATGATATCATGAAGAGAACTTCAGAAGCTCACCAGACCTTATCATAAATAATATCTTTCTCTCACTCATACCATTTCTAAAATGATCCATGTTTGGTCTTACCCAAGTAGTTCAAACATATTATCTGTATTTGACATGCTATTGGAATGAGTGCCAGATACAGCCATGCTAGTCTAGTTTCTCCACCTGCAGAAGTAAAACAGGTGCTGTCCTGGGCAATTAATCTAAATGATTAGCAATCAACATTTAATGTATGAGAGGGACATATATATACATATATATGTGTATATATATATACATATATACATATATATATGTAACCAGTCTGAAAGAAAAACTCTCTCAGACAGAAATCAAGAAGAGATTTTATTGTAACTTAGTAGATACTTTGATCTCTTCTTGAAATAAGAATACTACCCAAAAAAGTAGAGGTCACCATGGAAACATAAAATAAACTTTACAAAATAATAACCATTAGGGGCCAGAAAAATAGTTAAGCCAATAAGCATCATCCAACATGACTGCCTGAGCAACACTAGAAGTAATTCCTGGGTGAAGAACCAGGAAACCAGGAATAACACCTGTTCATTGTTGACTGGGACCCAAAACCAATAATAATAATAATAATAATAATAATAAATGGAAGGAATCTTTACTAAATGATTTTCCCTCCAAAACATATATACCCATTAGAGTAATTTTAGTCATCCAATTAAATTTCCTTGCTTTCGTCCTCTTTTTCCAACTACTACTTGATGATCAATTTCCCCCCTACATTTATGCACTTTAGGGAAAATAATGAGGACCACAGTAACTGTACGAGGATAAGGTGCTAGCCTTGCACGTGGCCACCCAAGTTTAAACCCTAACACCACACATGGTCCTGATCACTACCAAAAGCACCTCCAGTGTATCCTCAAAGCAAACAAGCAAATGGTGGGGAAAGGATGAAGAAGACGAGGACAGGAGAATACAATGGGCCAGAGACCTTAATTAGCCCATCAGATTAAACATTAACACTTTTATTTACGCAATGCCTTGGGGATATGATGAATAAGACCCGGCAGAAATCAGTGACTGAGACTTAGAATAACTAGATCTGGAAAACTAAAAACCCAATGGGGAAGTTGATGAATTCCTTAAGTGACTGCTGGTAAGATTATACCTAATCAGTTAGGGCACTGCCACTCAGTTGTCACCATCACACCCTTTATAGCTGTCACATCCGTCTACTCAGCAGATTCTACCTTGCAGATGATGTGTTTCTGTGTATATGTTGAGGTTACAAAGAACAGAAATCTGATGCCAGCTCTAAGAAGGTAGCCTAGAAATGGACCTTCTTGGAAATAATCACCAAGTACCATGCATTCAGTTTTTTTAAATAAATACCTGTCTTCTTAGATCTCTTGTTTTCTTGGTCATCTTATCAATAGCAATGTTTAGAGGATCTCCTTTTTCTTTCCTTCCAGTCTGTTAAGAAAAGAGAAATAATCTCTGATTTAGGAAATTCGAGGTTAGAGAGATTAAAATTCAAAAAAAAAAAAAAAGCACACTTGCACTACAGCATTTTGTTCTTAAAATATTTTCTATGTACATCAAATAAAATTTGTTTCTTAATTTTGTTTTCTCTTAAATAAGCTTAAAATGATGAAAGGCAATACATTCTCTGGATGCTTATACATGCATTTATATTCAGCTACTAGAAAATTAATTTTCTATTTTCTCCATACATTTAATCACTAAGGAACTACAACACGGATGTTTTGTTTTTACCTTCAAATACATATGTTTTGAACTTTGTGATGCATGCACACTTCCTCTAAATTGGAAAAAAAAAAAGCTTAAATCCCCAAATTTCAGAATGCATGCTGGCATTTCATAGACATAATTGTTTCTTGTGTATCAAAACCAAAAGAAATTCTTTACCATAAAATTATAATGTTTTTTTAATTTGTTTTGTCACGCAGTAGAATACCAAACATGTTATTAAGCAACTCACAGCTTGAGGACATGAAGAAAATTTCCCCTATGACTATATCAGGCAAAGGTATGAGCAAAAAACAAAACAAAATTTCTGTAATAAATTATTCACTTGAAAGTCCCACTAAGTTATGTATTTTTTCTCTAGTTTTTTTTTTTTGGTCTGTTTGGTTAGTTCTTTGGTGGTTGTAATTCAACAAAGAAAAACACACAGAAATCTCTTATCTTTAAAAAAATAACAATATCAACAAAAATTTTCCCATAGATAAAATCAATAGCAATGATAGACAAAAAGATAAATAGTGACAAAATGATTTCTATTGCTCCACATGGAACTGAAGAGCCAATACAGGAGTAAGGCTCATGCATCAAATCAGCTGGTGCCAGTTCAAACTCCACCATCATTTGGTACCCTTGGCCTCAGCTGAAAAGAGTCTATCCCTGGACCTCCTGAGCAGCACTTGGGCAATATATAAAAAAAATTATCTACTGAAGTTTATAAATGGCATCATCTTTGCTCTGAGAGAATACTGTTTTCAAAGTCTTATCGAATCTATGAAATCACTAAACTTACTCAGACATGCTATAGATTTATTTATTTATGGTTTTAGAGTGAGGCCAATCTTGTTTCATTCTCAGCCTCTGCAAATACATGTAGGTCACAGCAATCTGTGTTTATGGTGAAATGAGATATAGGCTCATAAATTGTGCTTAAAGGGATAACATGTTTTGGTAAGCCAGAGAAATCACCAGCAATTCCATTTTTAAGTATTAATCTGAAGATTATGAAAGCACTAATTTGAAAAGATCTATGAACCTCTAGCTTCATGGAAGTGATAGGCACAGTCGCCAAGACATAAAAACAATCCAAGTGCTCAACAGATTTATAAGTTTTTGTTTGTTTGGGAGCCACATCCTACTGTGCTCAGGGTTTGCTCCTGGGTCTGCACTCAGGGATCACTCCCGGCAGGCTCACAGGACCATTTTGGATGCCAGGGACAGAACTCACATCGGCCACCTCCTGCATAATTGCTTTCTAATGATCCTCTTTCAAAGGCCAAATCCTGGATGCATAAAGCTGATACATAGCGGCTCTATATTTAAAGTTATCAATTTTTTTGGCATCTTGCATAATTAACCTTTTTATTTTTCCGAACCAAGATGTAATATGTAACCCTATAGAGTCTTCATTAAAAAAAATCAGAGTACTGTGTATATTTTAATCATCTAAAAAACCTTCAAATCTCTCATTTTTTCCATTCTCTGAATTCATATGCTAATCCCTTCAGACATATAAACTTATGTTTGAAGGTTAAAAGAGATAAAAAGTCATATTTTACAATTTTTGAAATTATCTTCAAGAAAATAAAGATCTGTGGAGAAAAACAACTGCTGCTTTATAATCCAGGGAAGCCTATCATATACCAAGTATGGCTTCACTATCCTGCCTCCCCAGGTCCAGATGTCTCACAGGTCAGCAGAGCTGTTTCTTTCCACTTTGCACTTTTCGGGGGGACTGTGGGGAAGGGATGGGGGCTCACTCAGTGGTGCTCAGGGTTCCTCCTGGCTCTGTGTACAGGAGTCACTCCTGTGATTCAGCGGACCATATTGTGTGCCAGAGATTGAACACAGGTCAGCCACATGCAAGTCAAGTGTCCTACCCAAAAAACTTTTACTCAGTACCATCTCCTTCAGTTCTTTGCAAATGGGATATCTTTCATACAAATAGACTCACACTTGTCCTGAGTCTGGACCATGATCATTTTGAGAACAAGAAAATTTTATAGTCTTCATATTTGTGAGAAAAAGTAGATATATCTTTGAAAAATTAAGTGAGTTTAAAATTTGGGTATGAGAGGAGAGAAATGACCCAAGGTTACAATGTGAAAAAGAAGGAAGGAAGGAAGGAAGGAAGGAAGGAAGGAAGGAAGGAAGGAAGGAAGGAAGGGAGGGAGGGAGGGAGGGAGGGAGGGAGGGAGGAAAGAAGGTCAGCACAGTTTGGCTCTCAAAGCTAAAAATTATAAGCGAGACTAATTTTTTTTGACATTGACATATGATGGATAGTTTACAAAGGAGGCAATGAGGAGGAAAGTGGGCCTGAGACCAGCGTTGCATTTTGTGTCAGCATGATGAAATTACAGGAGATGGACCTTCACCCAGGTATCCCTTAAATACTTAATGGAGAGGAACCTCTAGGATGTTGCAGACAGATAGGGGGACCAGGTAAAGAGTGAAATTTTGGAAATAATAAAACCAAGAATAAATTGCCTAGTACTGAAGTAGCCCAAAGGCATGAGGATCACATCCCTTTGAGATACAAATCCTGAGCAATTTGGAAATGGATAAATGGACACCCAGAAAAAGGTGGGTTTTAACCTACAGAAGACTAAATGTCACTATATACTATATATATATATAGTATATATATATATACTATGTATATATATATATATATGAAAGGACCATCAAGAATGCAAGACTTTCCCTGGGACCACATTTAGATTAATGTTTAGGTTTACCAAGAGCTCCAAGCTAAGACAACATGGACATATTGTATATAATCTTCTCTCATTCTTTGCTTTTTAAACCCTGGAGAAGCCCATTTTCTCTCTTGCACAAGTAAATGTCTCTTTTTCTCTTCCTAAGTAAATTTCTTTCAATAAAACTATTTTGTTTCAGTAGAAAAAAATGAGCAAGATTTAAGCGAGAACCAAATAACTTAGTAATCATGATAAATACCAGTGAATACAGTATTTTGAAAAGCAAAATTTATTCAATTTCCCCCCCCCTCAAAAATCCAAGGTGAACAAGTATCAAATTTTTAAATAAAGAAAGAAAGTGATAGGGTCAATTAAAGATGACTCAAGTGAGAAGAGTCATGTGTGTACAGATCAGATATTATGTTCTAATTTTAAACAATGTGTATATGTGAAATCTAAATTTAGATTTAAATAAATATAATTAGATTCAAATCTAAATATGTATATATGTCTCCCATTTGTCTGTCTGTCCTGTCCTCCCGTTGTTCATCGATTTGCTCAAGCGGGCCCAGTAACGTCTCCATTGGAGACTTTGTTGTTACTGTGTTTGTCATATCGAATACATCATGGGTAGCTTGCCAGGTTCTGCCGTGTGGGCGAGATACTCTCAGTAGCTTGCTGGGCTCTCCGAGAGGGGCGAAGGAATTGAACTCGGGTAGGCCATGTTGGCTGCGTGCAAGGCAAACGCCCTACCGCTATGCTATCGCTCCAGCCGGTGTCTCCCATTTAAATTTTCAATTTAGGTAAATGTGTATGTGTGTGTGTGTGTGTGTGTGTCTGTCTGTCTGACTGTCTGTCTTCTCTCTTTCTGTCCGTGTGTGCATTGTGGCTATATTCAATGGTACTCAGGGCTTACTCCTGACTTGGTGCTCCGGTGGGCTCAGGAGACCATCAGGGTGTCAGGGGTTGAAACTAGGTTGGCCATGCGCAGGGCAAGTGCCTTAACCACTGTACTATCTCTCCAGATTCAGGGGTCCTATGTTTTTATGTATTAAATAAATCACCCCTTCTCTTGAGGAGATAGGGACTCTCACCATTTAAACTGGGATTGTCACAGATACATGTGGGAAGATTCAATGGGTTTATTCTTTAAAAGAAAGTATAAAATGAGATTCACAATTTTTTCTGACATCAGCCAATAACTGAAACATCAATTATGATCAGACAGTGTTTGGTCCTTAGTTGTGAACAACATCATAAGTGACACACAAAACAAGGCATCTTCAAGAAGTCTGTATTCCACGTGAATTAACCAGAATGTTTAAGGAACAACTGTGCTAAATATTCAGAGACTAGCCATCATTACCTTGGAATGATGCATTCAAGAAGTTAATAAATCTACCAGAGAAATAGGATAATTTTGCCCAAACTTAACCACTGGGTAAAACTTGAATAGAAAGGAAGGAAGTACACAAAAGTTTCAAGAAATAGCAACAAGAAAGTTATCAGGACTAAAAATAACAAGGCAGGCTCTGGGAGGACAGTGGGAGTGGGTCTGATATTTTCCAAGATGAAAAGGGGTTACTTTAACTAGTGGTGGAGATCAATTCCGTTTTATAAGAGCTTTTTAATTGTATGATTACTGCCAAATATATTTTTATACAAAAGCTCTGAGGACCTTTGTTGGCATTAGCATACCATGTCATCATGTCATCTTTGTAATCCTGGGTTTTTCCAGCTTCTACGTCTTTGGTTCATGTCAATTAAGAAAAAAAGTGATTCAGAACTGGAGAATAGTCCAGGAGTGAAGATGCTTGCCATGCATGCAGCTGACCCTGGTTAAATATCCAGCACCTGGGGGTAAGGCATCTCAGACAGAGAAGGGAACACCAAGTAAAGGATGTTGGGAGGACCCATTTGGGTTGAAAGATGCATGCCGAAAGTAGACTACAGACCAAGCACGATGGCCACCCAATACCTCTCTTGCAAACCACAACACCCAAAAGGAGA